GAATACTTGACATTAAAGAATATTTTTCAGGAATACATGAAGAAGTTCGATTTCAGCTTATCAAAATATACAAATATCAGAAATACGTACTATTTCCTTTTTAATGATAATCAATATCACTGCATCAAAGACAATAAATGCAAGTTCTACTATGAAATTTTTAAAAACAAAAAAATTGTAAAGCCGTGCTACATCAATAAATACAAAAAAGAATTCGGTATCCAAAGTCAATTTTTTTCTAAAATATATTTTTCCAAAATTGTCAAAGCCTTTGACAAAAAAAATTCTGATTTTTTCCACAGAATTCTTTATAATCTTCTTAATAATAGGAGTTACTTAAGCAAATGGAATGACATATCTAATCTGTGTCCATATTGTAAGGAAAGTGTTGAAACAAACAAACACTTAATATACGAATGTCAAAATGTTCAAAAAATATGGAATACTGTCAGTGAAATTTTAAAATTTAATATATCATGGAAACTTATAGTTGTAGGATTCTACAATGAAGTTAACGAAAATACACTATTATTAAATAATCTTATATCATTTATAGCCCTTAGAATCTATAAATACAAAATGATGTGTAGACTAGAAGATATAGCTGAATCCCATCAACAAGTCTTTGTCGTGTTAAAAATTCCTTAAGTCTGTGATATTGTGCTCTTAAAAGATCAAAATATAAGAACTGGAAAATAAATATATTTAGAAAAATTGAAGAAAGTTTGTGAAACAAATTATTTAATTGATCAATTTCTATGCATGTACATATGAATTTATGTTTATTACTTATAAGTTGTGTTTTTGTTATATAATAATTTATGTACTATAGACTACAATTTAAAAAAAAAAATCAAAGTTGTCTGAAAAAAAAATTGATGCCATCTTTCCATCCAAAGGTGACCTGGCCTTTGGAGTGTATAATCGTAGGGGGACTTTTGGACTTGATGCGTTGGTGCCCCCTACGGATATTTTTTGTAAAATTGCTGTAGTTTGATATATATAAATGTGCTTAAAACAAATACAAAATATGAATGAAACATTTTTTTTTGTACTCATAAAATGTGAACTGTCATGAATGCATTTTTTGTTTATTCTATTCTACTCTACTGTATTTAACCACATAATTATTATCTTTAATATGTACAATTCTTTTTTTTCTATCCGATCCAGGGAGCTCCTGGCACCCCAGGTGAGGATATATTTGCTAGGGCCTCTGAGGAAGCATTACCTCCACAGTTATTGTTATTATGTTATTATAATATAAAAGTAAACAAGTTATTCAGTAAATTGGGTCTTAATCCTTGAATTTTTATAAAGTAGTTTGTAAGTAAACATAAGTTTTTGTAAAATTGTGGTCAGTGTCCTTGTGTAAGGTATTATAACATTGACACATGTTTTAATTATGTTCAATTATTGTTCCTGTATTGGAAATTAGAAAACATCCTGGTAGATTACGCTGTCCTTAATCCGATTAACAGATTAACAGATTTTATTATTTTGTCGGAAAACTCTTACACTTCTAGATCCTTCTTGAATTAGAGGTCAATGCACTCTATAATACGTACTTTCATAAGATCATGGTCAATTTTTAAATCTAATTAAGCACAGGATATGACCGACAAGCCCTTTGACATTAGAATTTTATACTTGTAACATAAGAAGAAGACATTCACATAAGTTGCACTGCACCACAATTTTGACGTTGACTCCTTTCGTCATTCAAGGTGAAATTGAGAAAAAAACACCTCCAAATAACAGTTTAATTATCCTTTGACATTAAGAATTAAATTTTGAAACATGGACAAATGATATGGAGAAATGGTGCATGCCAACAGCAACATTTAAAAAAAATCTTTTATATGAAAATATAATTCAGGTCATAATATGAGAACCCTTTGAACATTCTGAATTCAAATTTGAAAAACAGGGTATTGACAAAATATTTGCTGCAATAATTTTTCACCATGCCACTTTCGTCATTCAAAGCCAACTTACAAATTAGGAAAAAGAACAACCGAACCATCACTCTTGGAATCTTTGACATAAAGATTTTAAACGTCATTGTTTGTCCCCATTTCAACCCCAGGGTGAAAAAATTCTGAAACCTTATCGCACATATACAGTACACCACCAACCATCCAAAAGCTGATTAGGCTACTGGATTAAATGTGAGAGGAGTTCTGGGAGCAGGGCCTTTTTCGAAAGTAAACACCATTGTTGCCCCCTGCCAGTTGACCACCAGGATAAAAATGAAAATGTCAAATCTTTATGGCACATCTACATGACATGTACATGACACCAACCATGATCTTCAAAATCCGTGAATATGCTTCAGCATAAAATGTAAGAGAAGTTATGAGAATCTGGGTCATTTTTATGAAAAATATCAACCCAGGGTTAAAATGAAATATCTAAAACCTTCTTGCACCAAGAAAAATGCATTTAAAAGAACGCCTTATTTTCGACCCTCATTTGACTCCTAGCTATAGGGTGCCAAAAATGCAAAAGGTCCCTGGTACCAAGACGTCAGCTAACTTTTAACACTGTTGCCAAGTTTTCATTTGGAAGATGATTAGATGGTTAGTGGTGTTCTGTAGATGTGAAATAGTTTCAACACCTTCCCACAATAGGGTCAAATAGGGTTAGAAATTGCTTTTTTCATACAACAAAACCTGGTTCCCAGAATCAACCCATGATTTCAAGGGTTTTTTGTAATCAAATTTTAATATTGGCCCCATCTAGATGTTAAACAAAAAAATTAATTTCGATCTTCTAAAAAAGGCGCCGAAATTAATAAGGGAATATATCAATTATGTAGGTACGAATTGTACCACTGTGCATTTCTTGCGATAGATAAAATACGACCAAAATAGGTTGTCTATATGAAATATTGATTCATCACAAAACAAAACGTGCAAAGCATAGAGCATAGTTGATCTAGTACCATACTGTAATTTCAGAAGGATGCTTGTAACTTCGGGAGGTTACAAAGCGCCATCAAGAGGGATAGTCAAGCCAAACATTACAGAAAAAATGATTTGGAATGCTTATATTGGGACAAAGTCAATTGGGGTCACAATTGGGGTCACATATCCCCCATCCTCTCCGAATTAAATACTGTTCCAAAAATTTGTTGGTATCTAAAATTTTTGGTTTTCAAAGAAAAAGAAATTTAAGGTCTTGTACTATATTGATTGAATATATATATATATATATATATATATATATATATATATATATATATATATATATATATATATATATATATATATATATATATATATATATATATATATATATATATAATTTAAAAGTAAAAAATCCAAAAATATCACAAAACATTTACTGCAGTAAATGTTTTGTGATATTTTTGGATTTTTTACTTTTAAATATATATATATATATATATATATATATATATATATATATATATATAGGTAAAATTAAAATAAAAAAGGCAACACAGATTAAAACGTTAGCGCTTTCATTACATCTTCAGACGTTTTACAAATGCATTCTTTATCCTGACTGCAATGTCTTACAAAACTATTAATACTTTGAAAATCATTATCTATAATTGAATCTGACAGCAAGCAATTAAATGCTTGCAGTTTGTTCACACCTTTGAAACCAGATCCGACATGTGTTTATACTCTTAGCCGGAGAACATCGAAAGGTTACACTCTGTGTGAAAGTTTTATCAGAAATCAAATTAAATCAAACTGTTAACACTGGGATTAAATTTTTGAATGAAATATTTCTCTTTTTCTCTTCTTTCTGTTATATTGTCTTGAAAAAGTTTATAAAAAGGGAACACTTTAAATTGTCCTTGTCCGCATCTATCAATGTGTTCGCTGAGTTTGATCTTACGGTACTCAGGAACTTGAATATGCTGTTTATGCACGCGAATTCTGGCTCTCAATGTGGTCCCCGTTTCACCGATGTAGAATTGGTTGCATCCTCCGCAAGTAATAACATATATTAAATTTTGGGACTCACATGTCATGTCTGAATTAATAAAGAAATCTTTTCCTTTGAAATTAAATGATGTTCCTTCTCTTAAAACAGAACATGTGCCACATCGCGGATCTTTACACTTTGTCACGGATTTTGTAGATTTTGTTATTTTGGAAGGACAGAGTATTCTTCTGAGGTTTTTGGGCTGCCTTTTGCTGTTTATAAATTTGAATTTTGAAAGAACATTTGACATTTCTCCATCCGTTTTGAGAATTTCGTTCAGATTTTGAACGATAGGTGTAATATTTGGGTTTTTAGGATTGTAAGTTGTGACTAGTGGTAATATTTTAATATTTTCCTGTATATATATATATATATATATATATATATATATATATATATATATATATATATATATATATATATATATATATATATATATATATATATATATATATATATATATATATATATATATATATATATATATATATATATATATATATAAACACATATAAATTTTGAGGTCACCGAAACTAGAACAATGAATATGCAGAAATTTTCAGACAATGACACTTTTTAGAAGTCCCCAAAATTCAGTTTTGTTACTCATAACTTTTGTGATAAAACTGATTCCCAGTTTCACTTGAGGAGAAAAGGTAAAAATGCTTGCATTTCTGTCTCTGAAAATCGCAAAGACGTTTCAAAAAGTCATATCGAACAAAATTGCATTCAACGAATAGTGAATGAATGGTATGTTTACGCATTCAGATTTGACTTTTTTTAAATACCATTTTACACTCTATGGTATGAATTTAGTTTGTTAACATTATGTACTTTTTTCAGGTTACCAGAGATTCTAACTTTTCAGACGAATCGTTTCAAGTAATATAAGAGAATAATCTCATATTTCCTACTTCAAACGTCGTTGAATTTACCGATTACATGTACATTTGATAGACAAAATTGAACCCAAAATGCTTTATAAGACAGATAAAGAAAATAAAATTCCCTTCTTCCCGTATGAAAAAAATTACAGCATGCAGAATAACAAGACTTTCTTCACAATAGAAGGACAAAAGGAATCAGGAAGAGTCAATGAAAGGAAAATGGAAGGTGAAAATTTGAATTACAAGTCACGTGATATGTTTGAGTCAGAAATCAGTAATGATTTATTCAGTGATATAAAGATTCACCATGAAGAGACACTCACTTATCCAGTGACACAGCAGCCAGGTGTAAAGCCCGTGTTTAGGCGATTCCATGTTTTTGAAAATACACCATCAAAACATGACACCATGGCTTTGGAATTCTCGCGCCTCTCTAGCATGCAAAACTACCCAAACATTCATGGAATAAGTTTTTTTCGAATGGCTGAGGCTGGATTTTTCTATGAAGGAAATGGAAATGAACTTGTCTGTTTCTCATGTGGTTTCCATAAGGATAGCTGGAATTTTAATGATTCTCCCAGAGAAATTCATTTGAGGATGTCTCCAAATTGTAAATTCTTATCACAAGGTGATGGTAATGTCCCTGTGCCAAGAGAAAAATCTACACAAGGTAATGGTCTAAACCACTGAGCAATGCTCACAACACTTAGGAGTGCTATCTATATTTCTTTTATTGATTAAATTGATAATATTTTAAACAATAAATAGTTATTATCCAGCAATAGATTTAACAATGATGTAGGTGCATGCCTATAAAACTCGTAAATTAAAAGTTGCTGCATTCAGATTGCATATTTATAAATAAACTGTTAGAATAGAAACATATTGTTTTCGTGTGCAAAGAATAGAGAAAATTGAAACTGATGAGATTTCCAAACAATAATGTTTTGATATACTTTCAGACCTTGTTCCCCTTCAGAGTGCCCCTCAGGAAGAAGTTGTGGAACCTGACGGTCTAAGGGAAGGCTATAATGCCTCTACATCTAACAACACGGCTCACCTGGCCAGTGCTATTTATAGCGACGGACAGGACCAACCAGATACATCAAAACGGACGATGGTGGTAAAACACCCGAAATATGCTAGCCGCCCAGCCCGAATGGCCTCTTATGCTAATTTTCTTCGCAACATAAAGCAGCATCCAGCAGATATGACAGAAGCTGGTTTTTATTACGCAGGTGAGCAAAATTTCTATGTGAAAAACGTTTTTCAGTATGTATTTACTAATAGAATCAAGAACCTTCATTTGTTACATTTTCTTTTTAAAATTCTTAAGCGTTAGGATTGTGGAGTATTCTTAAATTGCATTTCAGAGCAATGAAGATTTATGTATGAAAGTGGCCAGTTTTAGCATTTTCAAATCTCAAAACATTTGCCTAGAATGTAACGTATTTTTTGATTTTTTTAATGTCTGCAAAATTTATCATTGTCAATTGTGTGTCATCCTTTTTCAGGTTTTGCGGATTGTTGCAGATGCTACCACTGTGGAATTGGTAAGACTCTGAATTAAAAAAAAATATGAAAGAACAAAAAAAGCCCATTCACTTGAAATATTATAAAGAACTTTTATTTTCAAGAACTGTCATACAACAAATGATAATTGCTGCATGAAAATATATAAGTTTATAAACAATTTTGTAATGAAAAATTTCTCAGGTTCATGACATGGAAAATCCTCCACACATGTGACACAGATTTGGTATTTGTGAGCTAGTGTTTGCATACTTTAAGCTTCTGAGCTTATTCCACGAAAAATGCATATATTAAACACATTGCTCAGAAAAAACAATTCTGATGTTCATATTTATGGAGAGCATTACAAATCTTGTCAAACTTTTACAGATAACAGAAATCTCCAGGTTTTCTGTTTGATATATTTTTGGTATTTGGTTATAGAAGTGAGTGCCTTGTATGTACTGTTTTTAACTAGAAAGTGATATACCACTGATGAAGATATATTAACTGCCATAGTAACTAAGTGAAGGTCGAAGTAACTGGCACAGTGAAGGTCGAGCACAATGCAATGCTTTTATAAAAACATGAAATTGGTTCTGAGAAACAGGTTTCTTCCGAAGGAAATTTGTGTTTTGAAAATGAATCTTGTATGGTCCCAGTATAAACATTTCTTTAAAGAAAGAGAGAGACAGATTGAGAGCCAAAGAACATTTCAGGATAATCAGTTCTACAAAACTGAAACCCTTTAACCCATGTCCATAACATGGCATATACGCATTTCTACGCATCAGACTTGGAAAACGAGCGTAGTGTGAAAAAACATTCATAACTTCCTTAAAACTACAAATATCAGAATAAATCTTGCACCTTTGGAAAGCGAAAATAATTACCAAAAAATAAGATACAGAATTTATTCATTGGTTGTACCAGATTTTTGCTAGCTTGAGTTAAACTTTGCGCACTATTTGAGCGATTTTGCCATTATCGAAATCAACGCAGGGGTCACATGTTATATGGAAACATGCTAGATTCTTGTGATAAGCCCCATATGCATGGTTTCTGCAACATCTATAGCACACTGTTAGATGCTTTAAAGACGTTGAAACATAAAGGGCTGTTTATGTGAAAAGATTCTTATCCTACAACAGTTTTTCCCTGCCACAATATATGAAACATAAAAATATGACTTTAATCTAACCTTCAACTCATCAGGTCTTAGAAACTGGGACCCTGAGGACAACCCATGGATTGAGCATGCTCGGTGGTCTATGGAATGCCCTTACATTCTAAAAATAAAAGGACAGGCCTTTATTGACCTTGTGCAGGCTGCCCGAGCCGCAGAAATGGCCCAGGACGACGAGGATAGTGAAACAGAAGGGGCTAGTGTAAGTGACGGGTAAAAATGGACACTGATACCTATCTCTCTACATTTGGCATCTGAGAACACACTGTAAAATCACATATTTTCATGGAGTCAATTTTTTGTGGTTTAAGTAAAAACTCTTGGATTGTGGGATTTGAATTTGAGAATTGTTTCGTAGTTCTGTATGAAACCTTTTACATTTCATGGTGGACATGGATTCGTGGGTCTCTTCATACCTCAAAAACAACAAAAATTTACCTCCACAAAAATTTGTGAATCCACAGCATACGAGGCATTGCATGCTCTGTACATCTTTACTTTTTTGTCACTGATAGATCCCCCTTTTCCTTTTTTAAATAAAAAAATAAAAAAAATAATTGATTAGTCATAAGTAATAATGTGTAGAAATTAAAATAATAGAATATTTGGTTTTATGATGTGATAATTTGCATAAATGCTGAATTACATGTATGCATCTTAATCACAAAACCAAAGAACTATTTAGACGGATATATATATATATATATATATATATATATATATATATATATATATATATATATATATATATATATATATATATATATATATATATATATATATATATATATATACATGCACATGATTCACATGCTCCATGTCCTACCCACTTCTCTCTCTCGTGTTTTGCAAATGATTTTTGGATAAAAAAAGAAAATATAATATGCAGCATAAAATCCGGATGTAAACTTGTAATTTCTATCGTTTGCACTTAATTTGAGCGAGATCGTGATCGGCGACCCGTAGCCATTGTTCAGAGTTCAGGGTTCAAGCACGAATTTGAAATGATCAGATAATTTCCTGGTGTTTAAAACATGAATCCATAATAAACACATAAGAAAGATCAGAAATTCATGTATTCACAGCAATTAGTAAGTCCATAGAGTAAGGATGGAATAAGATTGAATATTATTTCACAAGATTACAATGGCTACTGACGCTGTAATATAAACTGAAAGCGAGGCTGTCTAAAAATAGCAGAATACAAACTGAGGTACCAAAGGGGAAACTAAACTTTTCCATCAGCATGCTGGTGTTACAGTATAATTATATATAAGCAAAGATTATTAACATAATCAACAATTAGTTTTAAAATAAAATATGCAAGTGACAAACAGAAGTTTTATTACTGTTTGTTCTACAGATGCCATATCAAAGAAATTGGTTTCAGTGTACAAGTTTATTGTTAATTAATGCACATAAATGGAGTTTGTGCTCACTTTAATTGAACTAGTCTACATGCATGATAAACAAAATTGCTTTGTTGTTTATAATACAGTAATTCAACCTAAATTGCATATTTCCAGGAAATTCCAATTCCTTTATTTTTTCTGAGAATTTCCGCGCTTTTTAATTTAGGCATTTGGCCATACCTTGAATATAGAGATGAACAGTTTGTCAGCGCAACTCCTCATAAACCCCCGCACAGAATTTAATCAAGCTTTGCAGGTATTTAGGACACAATGTGTAGATGTGCATATTACCTGGATATTCTGATTCCATTGTTTTACTGGGAATTTCGGCACTTTACAACTTAGATTTTTGGGGATATCTTGAATATAGTGGTGAACAGTTTGTCAGCGCAACTCCTCAGAAACCGCTGCATAGCATTTCATCAAACTCTGCAGATATTTATGACACAATTTGTAGATGTGCATATTACCGGGAAATTCCGATTCCTTCATTTTTTCCGGGATTTTTAGCACTTTGAGTTTTGGGGGAGCGTGGGGTATGTGAGCTTGCTCACTTTTTCTTTCATTTGAATGAGTGATAGAATTTATTTGAAGCAATATCCCATACCGGTATTCCAGTAGATGATATTATGTCTTTGAAGTTTGAATCTTTATTACACTTAAATTGTCCCAAAACTAACCAGCAAAACTAGGATTACCCATGATTATACCCCTTAGAAATGGAAATGATTCTACATTTCATGTAAATTTAATTATTTTGAAATTCATTTAGATCATTTTTATTCATTTGTTGAGGGTTGTTGAGGGATTTACATGGAACTATCTCTTAGTCAAAAGTTTTGCAAATCCTTATGCATGTTTGTGGAATCCTTAATATTTGTGGGTACCATGTAACTTTGGAATCCGCAATATTTGTAGGTACCATATCACTTTGGAATCCTTAATATTTGTAGGTACCATGTAACTTTGTAATCCTTAATATTTGTGGATACTAATTGTTATGAATTTCTAAAATTTATCTTGGACATATTGGAGAATGTTTATTTGTGGATCAGAGGTACCTACTAATTCCCCAAAAACTGAGTCTCCACAAAATCTAATGATTCTACAATATTTCCATTTCTTTTTTTTTTCGGTGATAACTCTTTGAAAGTTAGCGGAGTTTATGTCTTGATAATTCTACCGGAATGTAAATTAGGTAGATCTATAGGATATGAGCTAAGGGGGCCTACTATACCTGCAAATCTCGTGCGCATCTGTCTTTGCGTCTGACGCTTAGGAGGCCAAAGATGCATGTAAATCTCGTGCAGCTTGTGTTTGACGTTAGTGGGCGTGGACTATTTTAACTGGCATGGGAGTCCTTGTGAAATTCAAATCTATGTCTACAATTTTAAAATCTTAAAATCTACAATATTATTTCACAATGAAATGGAAATACAAGGAATCATTGTCTAGTTTGTATAATATGCCAGGGACATTGATCAACGATAGTGGGAAACATGGGATAATATACGCAAAAAGGGCTTCACCTGTATGCAAATATCCCATGTTTCCCATTTTTTTTATGACCTGGCATACTATACTAACCAAACAGTGATTCCTTAAATACCTGATTGTTTAACTCAGTTTAGATGATAAATACATGTATCTTTAATATTGATTGGTATCAACATATACAAAAATATATTTTATATTATATATAAAATATATTTTATATTATATGGTGTGTTGAAATTATATTGACTGCATGTAAATTTATTTTTACATGCATGAATTAAGATAATTATCTATGTCTATTATGAAGTGTTGATAGTGGATAAAGAAAAAAAAAACATTTAGGAGTCCTTGCTTGTTTAATTAATGCTAGCTTGATATCTGTATTCATGAATATCAAAGGGCCCTACCTTCAAAACACAGCTTCGCGTGTTATCTATTGCAATTATTTGACATTCTTAAACGTTGACGCAAATACTACAGACATGAGAGAATAATCTAATTTACTTTTTAAGTTTTTTTAATAAATGTTTAAATTTTGACGAGTAACCGGGGATAACAGATAATGCCTTATTTAGACTTGTTCTTTAACCAAACTTAACATAAACCATGTAAACCAATTAAATCAATGAATTTTATGAAAAATTCAAGAGCATTTAGTCTATAAAAACAAATGCACTGTACTGACCACTTCAATATTCAAAGTAACCTTACACTTTTGTCACGTTTTGGGGTGCAATTATTGCAACCAATATTGAAATAACGACCACTATTGAAATAATTATATCAATAGTGGTTGAGAGTGCATTTCAATAGCAAACATAGTAACCACTATTGAAATAATTATAACAATAGTGGTTGTGATGCCAAACAAAGGTAGTAACCACTATTGAAATACGACCACTATTGAAATAATTATTTCAATAGTTGGTGAGAGTGCATTTCAATAACAAACAGGTAAAAACCACTATTGAAATACGGCCACTATTGAAATAACAACCTTATTCAGAGAATTTGTGTCCCCCGCTTAAGGAAAAAGTAAAACATGCGCAGTTCGGGGGAAGGGGGGAAGAGTCGGATCTCCCTCATTGAATTTGTAAAATTATAAAATGTATACATGCATGTATACCGAAGCAAATAAAATATACCATTATGGATATAAAGATTTTATTTCTTATTCTTTATTATGTGTATAGAAGATTCTTTTTATATGGAATATTTATCACACTGTAATTATGATTTTATGAGTTTGTACAAGCCAGACCTCGAAAATATTTCATTTTGCGTGATGAATACTATTATTTAGTAAAATAAAAGTATTTCTAAAAAAAGAAGTGGTCCGTCAGGGAATTGAACAGATGGGAAGCGAGAAACATCCCACTAGACCACGGAATTGCTTTACATGGAGTCAAGTATATGCAGAAGTGAAGTCACATACATGTATATATTCATGTTCGGTATTGTCAAAATTTTACACAATCCATGGTGTTTGATTTATTTAGCCTTTATTAAACAGTTCTAATAGATGTAATAAGAACATAAGTCTGCCGAGAACCTTTTTTATACGCAATAACTCTCCTCATGCCCCTTTTCTAAAAAAAGCGACATGAAATACTATAAATACTAATAAAATAAACGGGGTGGGGCACTTTGAGAGGGGTGAGAGAGGTCCTAGGGAGTTTTGGTATAAAATTACTTTCCATAAGCTCAAAATCTTCTTTAAATATCGCCCGGAAATGATAGTATTACACACAGAGAGAATGTATAAATTTACGACCTTAAACTTTGACCTTTTAACCTCAAAATCAATAGGGGTTTATTTAGGCCATTGGGAGTTGTTATGTAAAATGTCATTGCAAAAGCTCAAATGGTTCTAGAGATATCGTGTGGAAACGAAAGTGTTATAACAGACAGAATTTGCTTATTTATTACCTTGACCTTTGACCTTAAGACTTCAAATTCAATATTTCAATTCTTTTTTAGTCCGTATGGGAGTTGCTATGCTAAATTTCATTGCAAAAGCTCAAAGGGTTCTCGAGATATCGTGTGGATACGAAAGCGTTACAGACAGATAGAAAGACGGACGGACGGACAAACCCAAATTAATATCCCCCACTTTTCAAGCGGGGGACAATTATATCAGAAAAAGTTTCACGGCTTAATTTTTAATTTTTTATCCAAACTTTCACAAAAATTGGATTTGGAATAAAAGATATATAGATGAATAATTAAAGTGTATAAATTAATAAGGATGATTTATAATAAGTGAGGCAGAATTTTGAACATCACAAAAGAT